CATTTCTCAGACAAGACTTCAAACCAGCGCAGACGATCATGCACTGGAGTGATACAACAAGCTGGCTGTGACTTCTGCACTATAAACTAAACCTGTGCACGGTTAATGAAGGACATTTACATGTACTGTAGGTGCTTCAAATACAGCCAAATGGCGGTTTGTAATCAGCCATCTGAACCCATCAAACACTGCATAAGCAGCACTTCATTTCATTTCACCCCCCTTGTCTGATTTACTCCTGGCCCGGATCTGCTTCCGCACTTCAAGTAATTGCACAGCTGAGAAAGCACATTTAACCACTGAATACGTATGAATTTTAAGCATTCCAGGCTGGTTTAAACTGAAACACAAATGAGGCTGTCCAGATATCCCAACTGTAAAACCTTTCCAAGTACACTGTATGTGAAATGCATATGCCCGGTCAAACAAATTTTGCAAATAAAATGGATATTTGCCAACTACCCATTTGAACACTGGGTAAGTTTGTTCATACAAGTACAGGGACATGTAGCACCACTCGCATGCAAGGGTCCAAACATCCATAGAGTGTACCATTCATTTCCACTGTCAGTTCATATTATTCCAAAGATGAGTAAGCACATACATGTACATGTGGCTAATAGCATATATTTCACATGAAACTGATGACAACGCTTGTACTGAACTGTACAGAACATTTATAACCGTTGCCTTTTACCGACAGTACTTAACACTTCTTTTTTTCCTCCGGCAGACACCAACACTTAGATACGGTCTCTACATGTTTGTACTCAATGGTTAGACACTTGACAACTGTACACACACTGTACAATTGGTGATTATGATGTCATTTGATAAAGTACATGTATTCATGGCGATTTTAGATGATGATACATGCAGTGGCCAATCTTAAGCAAAAGCAGACGGTCAAGTGATACTTTGATGCCTTTTTAATCAGACTCTATTTATAAATGTACTTCTATCAAAGCATTCCTTTGTTATTGTTTACCCTGTTAAGTGCCATTGGTCTTACGAAAGGACGCATGACTGGACTTGTGGAAGGACTTGGGATAGAATCAACTACAAAATTGCTTAGAAGTAATTATGGCATAGAATGTGTGAGATGGTCCCTGAAATTCACATTCAACTAGCAGTCTCTTTTCCATTATAGGGGAAATTCAAGCAAGGGCCACTTGTGGACTGCTGGTTGATTCTCTCTGGCAACCTGTGCATGAAATACATCCTGGGTACCAGGCAAAACTGACCAGTAGTTGACAAATGGTCATTGCTTGCACTTGCCAGTGGTGTATCCAGCAGGGCAAGGAAGCCAAGTTATCCCCCCGTCCCCCACCCCAAACACCATGCCAATTGTTTTGTGGACAATTGAACAGGGCAAACTTTTGAAATGTTATTACCAGCGCCTTTCTTCGAGGGGGTTTCTTTTATGGATGAGAAACCCCTCCCACTCAACACACATGCCTATGATCAGAAAGTGCCCTTTTATTGAGGGACAAACTTCTACGGTACATGCTGTACTATATCAAACAAAAGTTTTACCTTGGGAGCCCCAATGGCATCAGCATGGGCTGCTTGCAGTTGATTGAGAGCGCCCTCAAAGTCAGCATTATTGATCTGTATCCCAGCAGCACAAAGGTCTTTTTCCTCACCGATTGACAACTTGCTACCAATGGAGCTGCCGAACCAAAGAAGAATATAGTTTTACAAGCACAAACTTACATGTATGTTGGTCTCAAAAACTGCAGTTCTCTAAACTTTGTGCTAATCAATAGAGCCATGTGTTTCTTGTATTCACATTCATCAACATCAAATCCAGATGATTCAACAGTCTGGGAAAACCAGTTGACTTCATTTTCATAATGGGCATTCTTTTTTTATCAATGAAAATCATTGCCGTTAAACAATAGTACGTACAGGGTTTATGCCAATTAAAACAATACAGATATGGTAACATAATATTTGGAAAGGTAATTTTTTTAAGATTTTGTTTCATTTGTAAGGTTTACGGTAAATAGTATTGGAAAGGTTTCATAAGTAAATGAAATTATATTCATGCACACGTACATGTATGCATTTTTGTCAAAGCAGTACAATGTACAATGTATACCATTTTGACAAATTCAGTTTCAAAATTCCCACAAGTTATCGTCTCAAACACTACCACACATGCATCAAAAGAATAAAGAATCCTTGGAGCGGTAAGGACACTGTCCTTGTTCACACCTTAACAGACCTAAATATGGGCCAGAGTGGCCTGAAGGCACTTCCTCAGACCACACTGTCTGCAACATTAACAAACTGAACTCCCTCCCAAACTTAACCTACACAGCATTGTACTACTGCATGCTGCCTCCACTCTATGCAAAATGAACAAGCAACCAGTCGGTGCGCAATCTACATTTTGTACACAAGCATCAGACAGGGTGAATGTACATGTATTTGATTGAAACACCTGTAGGGTGTTTGTTTCAAGTGGCATGTTATTATGCACAGGTGCATTCCAAAGACTTAGCAGTATAGCAGTTCACTACTTAACATTCTTCAAGATCACCAAGCTCTTGGGATCTACATGTTTATCGGGATGAGCAAACTTCCCAGATGGTGTACAGTGTGCAGGACATTTCTTTTAATATTTCCCAAAGTTAGGCCTTTAAGAACTCAAATTTGCGCAGGTTATGATTAAGTCTGGACAGTTCGAAGGTATGGCATGACCTACCATGAACTGATGACCCTTGAAGTGGAGGACCGGACAGTGTGTGAAAGCAGGGCACAAAGGTCACCAAGCACCAACCCCTGCCAAATTGAAGGGAAAAAAAGAAGAAAATCTCAGCTTGTCAAAAACGGATTCGCTTTTCAACTGCTGCTCCAAGTAGCCTCTTTCATAATCCGTCACGTGGTACGGTGAAACACCTGGCCAAAACTCCATCATTGCAAATTTGCAAACAAAAAGATAAATGTGTACATGCAGACAGCATAATATAAGTTCAATATTCATCCAGCAATTCTTTCACAACATGACTTCTGCAGTAAATCTGGAAAGCCAGTTTCACTTCCGATACTTACAGCAGTTCTCTTGGCAATGTATGCAACGTCCACATCTGTGGCTAGCTCGACCTTTTCACAGAGTGCTTGCAGTAACTCGGTTCGCTCTTCTTCTTTGGGCACCTTGAAATAAGAAAAAAAAATTTCTTTTTGCAATGAGTCAATTAGGTATTCCAACAGCCCCTACTGAGAAATGGAGCACACCATAAGCCATTCAAGAACATCTATCTCCTAATCATAGCCTCATATGGATATTGTTATGACAAATAAGGAACCAGGCCACTAACAAGTGTTTGCTTTTCTGTCTGGTATCTGCCATTCCTCATCTTTTATTTTATTCTGTAATAACATCGTTTCTTTTTGTTCTAATTGCGATGTATGGAAATAAACCAAACAAAACAAAACCAAACAAAACCAAGAACTTCTGGACAAGTATGAGGTCAGTCCTGTAAGTGTGGACAAATACTGATGACAATGAACATGTCAATGCTGGAGTGACATCAAATGCTTTGTTTTGAAAGGACCTCGTCCTTTTCAAATATCAAACTAGCTTACAGTTCATGCCTATTCAAATTTTCACTATGTGCATTGCACTTTTGTTGATGCAAGTTGATTGAAGGAAGATCCTTAGGTCGATTCTGTGGTCGCATTCCCACACACTTTTTGTTTTTATCTCTAAGCCAATTGGGGAGACCCCACAACTGTCTTGCTCTCGCACAGAAATTCTGAACGGGGGCTGCTTGCCAGAGCTGAATTCACTAGAGGGAACTTCAAAGTGCAGCTGGTCCAGCTCTGAAATCAGCTAAACATATTACTGCCTGTGTGCTATGGGTGGCGGTATGCATTCATATATGCTCAACTGGGAAGCCTACGGTTATGCATGCTTTCCCATGACACTGCATACGGGCTGCCTCTGTGACCAAATACAGCAACTCAAGGTGTTCCAGTGTTAAGCCAAATCACCTTGAGGTTATAATCGTCCAAATGCACTAGACAATACACAATGTTTACCACTGTGACATCAGTTATGGACAACTGCCCATCTGGCAATTGCCAGTTTCCTCTAAGGGCACAGTGACACTACACTGGTCTAGTACTCTGAAACAACAGGTCACTGCATCAAATGATCCACAAAAGCTTAAACAAACACAATATGAAAACAACTAGCTCACCTTCATTTCCAAGTGGTGCAAAAAGCAAGCATGGAGGTCTGTCAGTACGGATTTGGTAGCAGGTGCTGTTGCTATGACAACCACTGGGTAGTCATGATGAACACTTGACAGTGATTGGATAGCCTCTTTCAAAGAGGCTACAACTCTGGCATCTAGAAACATCAATTAGTTTTGTGTTGTTAGTATTCAGAATGTCTTTAGACAGGTTCACATTGATTTGAACAAGTCTCAATCTCTCTATTGCTTTGTATGGAAGAATTGTGTACATGGAAATACTGTTTGTATGTGCACCATGGGCACAATCTCTTTTCGGAAGATGTGTAGGCTGTGAGAGGAACCCGTACTGAGAAACGTCTTAACAGTTCGAAGAGTGTGCTCTCTTCATCTTCAGGAGACATGAACAGAAAATGAACAGGGTACATGTACATGTACACTATTGAAATGTTAAGCCTTTCTCAGAACCAACATCTCTTTGAAAAGAGGCTGTGCCAAAATAATTGGCCTGATAAACATCCTTTTTCATTTAGCAAAATACTGCCGAAATCAAACGCAAACCTTCACTTGCCTTATGCACAGGTTTACTTGTGCTTCAATCATTAACCTGAAAATTGACTTTAAAATATAACAGTTCTTTTGTCTATACGTGTTCATTTGAACATGCTATGCAGAGCTCTGCACTTTGCTGATATGCAAGTCGTGTACATGACATGCTTCTAGAATTACCCTATTAATTTTGACTTTGATCCACGCGAGGTCACACATGAATACTGTTTTTAAATATGTTTCATGTATGGTGTGGAAAGATTTAGCTAAACATTCTCTTATGAGTAGACCATGGGGAGATTAACCATTCTAATGACTGAGTTCAATGCATGGGCAGATATGCATGGGCAGATATGCATGGGCAGATATGCATGGGCAGATATGCACGGGCAGATATGCACGGGCAGATATGCACGGGCAGATATGCACGGGCAGATATGCACGGGCAGATGTGTATGGGCAGATATGTATCGGCTGATATGTATCTATAGCTGCACAAAAGATCATGACAAATTTCATAGACTCATAATGATTGTTCTCAGTGTTGAAAGATTCAATAATGGAACAGCTGAGATCTTTGAGAGAGATGAATCCATCTACCAATACCCCTTCTGTCTATATTCGCATCTGATAATACATGTATGTCTCGCTTGAAGCAACTCACCAGCAAAGTAGACACAGGTCAGTGGGAGACTGTACATTCTAAGAGAAATTGCTTGCACATGCCCAGCACAGCTCACGCTAGATGAGTGTGAACCTGGACACGTACAGAATGAGTCCCAACCAACAGACCATCTTGTTCCTGCACACAGCATATAGTGGCTCATCGTGTGGGCACACATACTGTACCTGTCATGCGAATATGTAGCGTAAAGTCTAGAACTGACGAACACCCCTGAGGACAAGCAAACAGCAATACACAGACGGAGAAACGCGGGTGTGCCACTGACAAAACCCTTACCTTCACCTGTGCCATCTCTGTCTCGAGCCAAAACGTGTATGTTCCTCATGACCAGAATACAGGGGGCACACATTCCACCTGGATGACAAAGATATGACCACTTTACCAAAATAAGGGTCTTCAAGTAGTATTTGATTAAAGCTGTTCAGCTGTTTACATGCACCTGTACGTGTTGCTCTCTAAATGTCTCTCAGGGACTGAAAAGTAATAATAGAGGTGATTCACAGTACAGTGCGCCACCAAGAGGCTGCCATTGAGGTCATTTCTTCAAGTTTACCCTGGTCACTAAAAGCACGGCCGCCTCACTGGGATTTGCACTTTAGCGTGTACCAGTTGAAAACATGAGAAATTTTTGGACAGATTGGGAATTCCCTGCAAAAGAAAGAGGAAAGGATTACTTCAAACTGTGACTCGAAATACACTTGAGAGTCTTCTTCCCTGGCACACAAACAATAGGACTATTTCCCACAAAGCACTAAGAATGGACGTTTCCTGGCAACCTCTCGGTGGTGCAATGTATTGTAAATTGCACGTATTTTGGAAAGCACTTAGGCTTAAATACAATTTCTGTCAATGTTACCATATGCACGCAATATGTACCCTGCTGGGGCAAACTGTTTGTACCTTCTAACACAATGCCCAAATTGCTAGACAGGAAAAACCTTGCATGCTTTAGGAATAAATCTGACATCTTTCTTTAAGGTCAACATTTGCATAGTTAAACTCTATAAAGGGCTGTCGTGGAGGTATCTTGTCATTTAAAAAAGTTGCTTCGTGTATTTTCACTCAAAGACGCTAAATGTACTGCATCTGGGGTAGGTTTACCAAGTATACCTCCATCCACAAGAGGTTTAAACATGTTTCCACTGATACCACTGCGCCAAAATGACTGTCAAGAATGAACTCATGATGGAACGGACACAAATCAAACCCACTACATACCCTTAAACATCAGGTTCTTGATTTTTGCCTCCGTAGATGCTGTCGTGTCCGCGCAGAGGTCATGACAGTTGGCCACCACACAGTGCAGGTTGAGCCTACGGCACACTGATCTCACCACAGTGACCTTCCCACAACCCGCTGGACCCACAAGTAGGAGGGACGGGGTCAACCTGGTGCACTGCGACCTGATAATGATGGATAAGATAGGAAAGTTGAGAAAATAATTCAAGAAAGTCAATGCAGTCAATCAAACAATTCACAGCTACTGTTTTATGAAATTACTTAGAAATGAAAAGGTTACCACCCAAATGGACAGAAATAACCATTATTCACAAGTTGATGCATGGTCCGTCATGAATATTATGCATGAACAGATGTATACATGCATTCTACTGGCTGTGGTAGCAGTTAACACAGCTCTCGATGGAGTGATTTCTCATGGCTGCCATTCAGTACAGAAGGTAACTGGGACATTCTGTGACGAGGAAGCTGTTGGAGTCTGGGTTCCTCCCCGCCTTATCAAATGGATTATTATTAAAAGGGTTAAGTAACACTGGATTCCTTAAACCATTTTCGAGGGGGGGGGGTTCATGGTTCTTTTACATCTGTGGATGTGTAAGGACACATTATTTGCACTGAACATTTCTGGGGGCAAAAAGAAGCATCTGGTAAAGTTACAATAGCAAACATGAGCATTAAATGAAGATGTACCTTCCTTGACAAAGAAAAATCCTTTTAAGCCACCGTCCTTGTCCATCCATTGTTGGTGATTTGAATATGTTCCTAAAAAGTCTGTATTGCCTTGATCACACCATTTGAATAATGCTTGCTTGAGTTTCCCATAGCCAGTAAATCGTGTAATGAAGCAATTTAACAGGTGTGCAACAGGGGCTGTGTCAACTTGTCCAGGTAATCTGTATTGACGAGGGCAGCTGCCAGACTGAATCGCAGGCCTAATCTCCCATTTGTCATCCCATTCATTATCTGGTAGTTAAGTAACAATATTGAGATGGACTGTGCGAAACCGCTGTACCCCAAACATTAGGTGTGGACCTCATCATGTTCGCTATAGCAACGTCACACAGTACTGGCATCAAATTGTATCGATGTATTTTACTTTCTTTTGGATGTTAGATTTTCTGCCCAAAAGTGGTAATGTCAGCAGGGGGGTAAGCTTACTTTGGAATCAAGTACGGCACGATGACGTCCTCTATCTGGTCTACATACTTCCAGATCCCAGCAGGACTCGGTAATCCCCATATCGGCTCTAGCTTGCTGTTGATATAGGCATCCATGGTAGCTGGGATGTAGCTTGAAACTGGAGCTCCCTGGTCAAAATGAACATTTTATTTTGTGAAGTAAAGTTGAAAAAATTTTGTGCACGTTTTTATGGGAATGTCTCCCTAATGACCCATAAGCGGTAAATGTTAAATTTCCAAATAGGTCACTTGGGAGACATTTTGTGGTAAATTTTTCAACATTAGGAGACATCGGTCATTGGGGAGACATTTCAATGTCTCCCTAATGCTCCAACTACCAAAAGGAGGAAAAATTTTTTGGTCCACATTTTGAGAGATGATAGATTAGGGTCTAAACGGAAAACATGCAAAGTTTGGTTAAGATTGGATTAGGCTATATTGAATTATGGGACGGTAAAGTTTGAAAAAACTTTGTACACGTTCCTATGGGAATGTCTCCCAAGTGACCCATTTTTGGTAATTTTTATCATTATTATTATTATTATTCCACACTTATATAGCGCCCTAATCCAAAAAGGCTCGAAGGCGCTTAACAATATAAAACAATAAAAATCACACCTGTATTAATATGTTAAGAATACAATTACAATTAAAATAATACATAAAAATACAAAGTCACATGCAAAACTGTGGTGCCAAAAACAACACTTCCCGGTGTCATCAGAAGACCACACCCAAAATGTGTCGCCCCAGCACCGCCAGCGTCGCCCCCGCACCCACAGGTGCTAAAAGTAACAATCAGAGGCGCCAGAGCAACACCTAACGCCAGCAAGGGTGTTAGCATGGTCGTCGGATATATACATGTGTAACACATTTTTGCTTTGGTCCCCATCCCCAATACCTACCCTTGATCATATGTGGTGCAAACCAACCCCCAATACAGGCGATTCACAAGGGTGTGCCTCTAAGAGTTTGCAACACGCTGACCAATCACAATGCCCGAAATCTGTCGACCCAATGCACATTTGATAAGGGTCAACTGATTTCACGCTTTGTGATTGGCCAACAGGTTGCAGAATCTTGGCGGCGCACCATTAAGAATCGCCCACACTGTAAACTGGAATTTCAACTGATGACAGTTATCCATAGAAGGAGTAGGCTCATCCAATGAACACTGCAGGCAGTGTGCCAAGGGCTTATGAAAAGACAGGGGGCCAACCAAAAATTTACCGGCCTACAAAAACAGGGTGCACCAAATTACAGACACACACACACATACATGTACATATATACATGTACTTGTTTCTCATGATGTGTCATTCCTTTGTTCTGCGGTTAAGGTAACTAGGAGAAAATTCTCCTTTTTCTCGAACTATAAATACTCCTTTGAACTGGATTTTGGATGACGATTGCCTGAACTGTTGCTTTCAAGAACTCCAACTCCAATATACCTCTACATGTATATACCTCAATATACCACACTGCGTGGACATGAGCGAGGCCATATGTCTCCTAACCCTACATTACATGGACTTCTTATGTGGAGGTCCACACTACGCGTGCCACGCTTGCACCCCTGCACATACATGTATAGCAGACACGTGAAAATATTTTACAACTTTGGCATCCTTTTCCGAATATTCAGTTTTGGATAACTGTAAACTTGGTACAGTTTCAGTAGCATCAAAATGAAATACCAATATCCAGCGCTATAACCGGCTCTGTGAAAATGATGATGGTTCTTGTACGTGGATCAGTGTAGCGCCTATAAAGTACTGGTGCCTTGCACCTACCGGTATACAAGTACAACTGTGGTACGTTGCGTCTACAGTACGTCCTTGATACGACCCAGATCATATGTTATATGTATATGAGTTTAAACTGTATTTGTGTAGCAGAAAAAGGATGATGGTGTGATGGTCATCCACTCCGAGCGGAACAAAAGAGGGTGTGTGGTTTTTTGGTACTCCCTGCACAGGCGTGCCATGAAGTGTGCAAGTAGATGCGCGTTTGACGCAAAGCACGCTGAGTATGCGTAATTACATGTAATTTAGTCCGGCATGTATGGTCTTTGAGTATACGCAGAAAGCGTATCAACTCACTTCAACTCACGGCGGATACCGCTCGACAACATGCGCAAGAAGTATGCCATGACATGAAAAGGACACACTCGATGGTCCACTGTAACATGAATCAACATTGAAATACTTCTAGCAAGTTTCTTACCTGAAATACTGTAGTGTGCAATGTGTCAACCATGTACGAAACCTTCCCCTCTAACTGTGGTTGAATCTTGATCACTTTAAAGAAGATCAATGGAGAGCGCGTATGCACGCCTTCACCTATATCATGGGTGTATTCTGGAAACTCCTTGGTGCTCAGAGTCAAAACGTCACCCAGTGAAACAATCCTACATTCAGAGAGCCCACAAAAAACAGACAGAACCCCACATAAAGCACAAATATTCCACCGACAACCATGAAAGGTTCGTCAACCATTAATGTAAATTGTACCTTTCATCAACGATGTTTACTTGGACCTGTTTTAGTTTTGCACACTTTTGTCACCATTTTCAACACCTCTGGTTATGTTTTTGAATGCCAATTCTGCTACCCAACGTTTTACACATATTCAAATTTTGAAAAATTTCTTCATCTACTGACTCCTTTTGCACCTCTTCCCTTAAACCCATTCTCTGTTTCAATTAAGCTGAAATGTAGACAAAGTCTAACTTTAAAAATTACATGTACATGAAGTTTAGAACAAGCTGTGGTCCAGACACCTGTTGGAAAAGCCATACATGCATGTACATGTACGTTAGGTTACCTTGTCTCAGTAAAGTACTTCTTGATGGCCAGATCAAATTTGCTGGTCATTGGGTAGTCTGGAGATTTGACCAAGCCGAGATGGAGCTCCTTGGCAAGTGGCGGCTGACAGCTCGCCGACAGGCTCCTAGAGCTGGCTAGGATGCCCTCACACTGCTCCAGCTCAGCCTTGGCAAGCTACAATAAATGGCACAGACAGACACAAAAGACACATGTAGGAGTAGAAACAAGTTGATTTTTCAAAAGGGCAAAATAAGCACTGATGCTTTTCAAATAAGCTGGTAACTAAAAAATCTGTTCTGCATTGCTGCATTTAAACTTGAATTTGAAAACTCTGAGCAGAAAAACCTCAGTAAAACTATTATCTCCCCTTGAAAAAGTACATCTTGAGATAACTATTATTAATAAACTAAACAACAAATACGCACTAGGTCAGCCAGCGCTAGAACAGACAATAGTGATTTTTTTAAAGTAAATATTCTCCAATAAATTCGCAGAAACACATGTACATGCATAAAAAATAAAACTGTCAACAAATAAAATATTAAAATGCCACATCAGGGGCAAAACAATCATTCGGTGCTATATAATGTAAAACAGCTACATTGTAGAACAATCCTCATTTTTACGATCCTCTACATTTTGTTTCAATAAAGTTTTTAACTTCTTACAAGGTGTGTGTTGGTCCAACATTACCTTTTCAGCCTAGAGAAGTTTCCTTTTACACACTGATGCTGGAAAATGTGAAATTCTGGCCAAATTTTTTGGGGCAATTTGAGACATGTTTATATAGCAGCAGGGCCCTAGAAGTATGTATCAGGAACGCATACATGTATCATGCATAGCAGAAGGTGGAGATTGTTCAACTTACCCATACAGATATCACTGCTTCTGGTTGTATGAGTCTTGATGGCTGATGCTGGAGATTAAACCACAGTCGAGGAGAGAGATACAATGTGCCATCTTCGGGAATCAACTCTTCTTCATTTGGCCTTTTCCTGTTGTATGATGTATCACCATCATCTTCTTCATTTGACTTGCCGGCACCAGCCCCCAAAAATTTCTGATCAATGATGAATACCTGAGCTAAGTGAGCAGATTCTTTGATGGTTGTTGTAGTTTCGGCATCTGCTGTGATGAGGGTTCCAGGGGATTTTGCATCATCTTCACGGAAATTTTCTTGTAGGTCTGAACCTGATGGTTCGGGCAACTTCCTCTCACATTCTCCGAAATTTTCTGCCGGGGGGAGGGACACCACGACCCAACTGCCACTCAAGGCACAAAGTTCAAGCAGAGTGGCTTTAGTGACGCCAACTCTCAATTCTGTCTCACAAAGGTTATCACTGCATGTCAAATGATTGACGGTTGCAGTCAAATGTGCAGAGACTTTGGGAATGATCACAGGCCTCAGATGAAAGGCCTTTGGTGCGTCTCTCATGAAGGCGAATTCAGATATGATGAGTGGCTCTGGAAATAGGTCTACAGCAGGATCATTTTTTGATAGCCTATCAATACTGTCCTCTTCTCCGTTAACTGGTCCTGCATCTGAATACGTGGTGTCTTCAACTTGCGTAATTACGATGGAAGTATTGACAGAGATGATTCCCTGCATTACAGGTTCACACTCTAGGGCAATCAGGTTCTGGTAGTTCGAGCGGCTTTGCGTTTCATCCTTACTGAATTTGTGAATTACTGGTGCCAAAAACTGATCACCAGAGCGAACTAGAACCTTCTGCTGGCATGTCGAGACAAGCAGCTCCGTACTGAAGAGACGATTTCTAGCCCATTCATAACACCTGCTTGATCTTGCTCCAAACACAACTTTTGATAGAGGAAACACTTTGACTAATCTAATGAAGATATCTTCCGAATCAGCTATTCCATAATGCTCATGAAACCGCTGAGTTGCATATAATGTCAGAGTTCCAGGGCTTTCAGATACCTGACACAATGATATTGACCTCCGCACGAGGTCATCACTGAGAATATGTAAACACACGAAAAGCTCAACATCAAACCCACATTCCAAGGGCTCTCCTTGTCGAATTAAGGACACGATGACGTAACTGTCGAACTTTTCCCCAAGCAACAGGCGGGATGCACTCTTGCTTATGCCCAAATGGAGCGGATTATGATTAACGGCGAAGTTAAATCGAGAAAACTTCGCCGGAATTTTATCACGCCTACCTCCGACGTCCGCCATTCCGCTATCGATTTTACCATTTACCTCCCGCAGCTGTTGCAGGAAGTCTGGTTTCATTTCAACCGAATACACGGTAACACGCATAAGACTCTAGGATTCAGACATAATTTTTTTACTAGACTGGTACCAACGTACAAGCAGCCACAATTTTGTTTCAAAAGCTAAAGTTGAATTCGGCACAAGACATCTTCCCGATGTGGCTGCAGCAGCACTGCAGCACTGACCTCTATGCAGTTGCCACAGTGACACCTTGTGCGTGCGTCTCAATGGCGTAGGGGGATATAGGGGTATCCCCACACACTTTTTTTTGTATTTGCCTGCAACTGAGGACCCCCTGGATTGCTCCTCTTTTGTGTGCAGTTAAACTTTTTTAGAGGACCACTCATATGTTTTGTCAATCGGGGACCCTGAATCGGGAACCTTATTGTCCTCTATTGTTCAGGGTCCCCACTGAATGCAAAAATAAACTCCTGCACACTTGTACATCATGTGCATCATCCTAGTACCCATGAGCACAAATTCGCCACCGGGGAAACCCCGACGGTTGCTTCATGCTTCGCGTCGTGCATGGCGTAGTAGACCTACACGTAAAGATATCGAATCAACATATTGTAAATGTAATATTTAAACAACAGCTAAAACAGACAAAGTCTTGATGATTGATCAAGTCATCTTGATGGCTCCGTTACAGAATGCATATACCTGGCAAATGTCAAACGATTCGATACACCTAACGTTTTAACGCCGAAGATGATGCACTGGACGCTCCCGTCTTCCGATGTGACGCAGTCGTCGGTTTGTCATACAGCAAGTCTAACAACTCGACGCAAAGCGCCTTTCCATATCCTCTACGGTAAACATTTCTTAATTAGACTGCTGGGACTAGGAACTTTGTAAGGCGCCTTCCCATATGCACGTCGATCAGCACGTTGCGTAGGCCTATCTGTCGGAATCGGTCCCGGAGCGCTAGCGCCGATTCTGACTGCCGACATGTATATATACAGTCATTGCCCTTAATGAGCTCTTTTTTCTGGTCTTATTTTAGGAATGTTTGGTTTGAATCATTTTTATTATGGCATTTGTACAAAAGCGTTTTTAGGAGATTTCATGATCACCCCTTTGATGAAATAGCGCATTTTGTTCCTTGTGAACTTTAGCCTTCCAGAAGTAGTCAACATGTTGTTTGCCAGTCTTTGCCAAATTCGTACCAAGTCTTTGAACACTGATGTATTGGAGGGAGAATATAATTACAAACTTTGCATGGATAATGGAACAGTGTATCAAAATTACAAAAGTTTATTCACGATGGCAAAAGTAAACCTAACATCAGGGATTTTTCTCTCGCTATTTCCTGGTCACAGCAATAATTTGTATTTCTTTGCAAGCAAAACACGAGTATTGTTAGGTTATTACTGGCCCCGCTTGTCTGGCTAAGATACAGGCACTAATCGAGCATTTTGGGAATGTTTTCTATTATTCATCTGACGTGGCGGCGACGATCATTGAACACTTTGAAGTGCCAGAGTTGAAACTCCTCCTGTGTCCTTCCTCTATGCACGAACCAAGGTGTATTTAAACTTGGCCTTATCGTCGACAGAGGGCACTATCAAAGCCAAAATCCCGCCTTGGCAAGTTTTGAAGACGTTTTTGCATCCATACCGTGTTGGACCTAGGCTATGGATTTATCACTGGCAACCAAGATTGTCTTCCAATCTCTGGACCAATCCCGGCAGAAGGGCCACAAACTAAGCATTGGTTGGCCATCCACTTCGGTCTTAAGCCAAGATTTTTTAAAAAGTTCTTTTTAGATTTTTGGTGATTTCACTTCTCCAACATGACACACGATTGCTTCTGATCAGCCGTAGCCAAGACGACCGTACAAAAACGTTTGAAGACTGCACAGTCGACTGTATCACGTATGAGCGACCGAAGAGTCCAACCCGCAAGTACATGTAATTTTTGAATGGATATGCAAACTATTCTTTTGAACCTTTTCCCGAGGTAGAAATTAAAAGAAATCCCAGCGTTACCCTTAAAAAAATCAGCCTTTGATCAACACAACCGAACAAATTTAAAGTGACACAATAAAAATTGAATTTGAAGCAGAAGGGAAAATATTTACAGGAATGATTTTTACTTCTTTATTTCAACAAAAATGTGAATCAACGGCTTCGAAATGGGAGTGCTCAAATTCACAGTGTATCTCAGAAACGCTAATATCAAGGGTGTGCATTTCCAGATAACCTTTGCCACGTCAGCAGGAGTGGTTGCTACATTGCAATTTTTCACATATGGGCTTTCATTGGCATGGCAAGGTTACTCTGACAAGGGGCAAATGAAAATGGGGCAAAATAAGCATCAGTGGTGAAAGGTAGACATTTTCATTTTTAACCCTGACCTCCATAAAATCAATGTGGGGGGGAGTGAGGGATTGGCATCATCTTTTCATGATGCCACTGTTTATAAGACAATAGACTTATACAACATTCATAAGTTCATGTGCCATAGACGAGCACGGTGCTAGTGAAAAACAGGACACTTGCAAGAAAGAAAAAGAACACCTGGTACAAAATGGGGAATGCCCCATACCCTCAATAATGCAACACCACTGGCACTGCAGTGTCTCAGGAAGAAGCTACGTTTAAAAGTAGACCGTTACATTTAGAATAAGTCCAGCCCACAGACTTCATCCAGTGATGCCAAAAATTATCCTTGCCTTACATCTTCAGTCACACACTACCCAAGTTTTTGGCAGCTTGGCTTTTACCGCCAAACCCTTTCACTCCTTGGTATAAACTACAAAAACCAATCCACAAATTGACAAACTAAAATTACAAATGTCCTTCAAGAAAGAGAATGTTTCCTCAAAAGATGAGAGCAGATAATAACAGTAACTGCTTCAAACGACAGTGGTAACACTTAAAAAAAAAGAGGAAATAAACTGATCTGAGGAAAAGCAGCATGCCTAACTGGTGCCCCATACGATCTGATTTGCCTCCCTTTATCCTTTTAATATTCATCCGCTTCAACTGTCCAAAACTGAATAGAAGCCAACCAATATTTTGAAGCAGCCAATTTCTTTCTTTTTTCAAGGTTATTCTCAAACCAAGCATCTCAGAAGGCAACTACGACAGATGCTGACTGACTTGCAAAATGCTTGCCTACTGGATTAAGATTCACTTGAGGCCGAGAGTTCTCTATTCAAACACCTTCTGGGCTGCTCAGGACTGGCACTGATGACTGGGCTATCGCTGGTAGTAGCCTTGGTTGTACCCTCCCCAACCTTGTTGGTACTGTTGGTACTGCAGAAAGGGACAAGCACAGCACGTAAATAACAAAAGAGTCAGAAGGTGCATCAACTACACAGTGCTTGGACAAGTCACTTCAGTGCCTAACCCAGAGGGATTTAGAGTATCACGGTGAGTGCAAAGGTGTGCCATCCTCACTGGCACCCTGAAACCTGCGTCATTTTCATGTGAAGAATCCCTTCAATTGCACTGCTGTGTGAAGGGGTGCCTTTTCCTTGTACCTTCGGCTGGATCACAATGCTTAGTGGTGCATTTTTTTATTCTTGGGACGCTGTGTATGAACGGAATTGCTCCACGGGGAGAGGATGAGAGCATCATCACAATGTACATACCTGATTGTAGGTGTTTGGCGGCGGCTGATTGTAGCCCCCGGGTCCAGGGGGCGGGGGCCCGTAATTGCCCCCTTGTGGGCCGTACTGAGGCTGGTTGTACCCTCCCCATCCGGCATTGGAAGGTTGCTGACTGTAGTCCTGGCCGGCCGGGACGGGGACTGGGTTGGACAACAGCGGTTGGGCCTTTGAGGTGGCAGCAGCCGAGGTTGGTGTTGACGTTGTGGCAGGAGAGGCTGCGGCGGCAGCCGTGCTAGGGGTTTTCATCTCATCCGTCTTAGCCTTCTTTGCTGGAGTGGCGGTGGGCGTGCTATCACTGCGGGCAGAAAACAGACAAGGTAACGGGACATGAATATATCATCTTGTCAGCACTAACAGGTCCTTGTGGAAAAGCATGCCTTTTCTGTGCTTGGACCTTAACCACTTGCTGCCGGGGAGCCCTGTTTTGAGCACCATGGTTTATATGCAGAGCCGGGGTGCCTGAAATGGGACAAAAGAGATGGTCTGTATAACCAAAGACCCTACTTGGAACAAAAGACCTGCTGCTGGGAATTGCCATCATTTTTCGGCTTGCATTTTTTTAAGGTAATCCGTCACTGTTTTTAAAAAGTATACCACTGTTTTGGGCATAGTGCACCCGCGGATTAGCACTGCAGGCAAAAGTACTCCAGGGCCCCATTGATGATTGACACAGCGACCCTGCATGCTAATCCAGCCATGTTTGAAAAGACGCCACCCGCATTCCCCAGGGGGACAAGGGAAATTAAACACAGCACAATTCTGGGCTCTCTTTACAGGGGAGCCGGCCTGGCTGAAATACTCAGGAGTCAATGGAGGTTACCTGTCAGCTTAGAATAGCCACCAAACAGTCATTCGTGTGGGTGTAAACGTCCATTAAATGAAATCATGTATCTTTGAAGAGTTTTTAAAAATGAAAATCTTGAAAATCGCCCGTATGTGGGCACTGCATTTTTAAAACCACCCGGCAGCATGTGGTAATAGTCTCTGGGTGTTAAGCTGTGCTATGAAATTGGGCCCTGTTCTATATTCTTTTGCTTGTCCTGTCAGACTTCACTGGCTTGGGAGAAAAAAACTCAAGTTTTGCATCAGCATCAAGGGACCGGCATGAGACAAAGATGGCGATAGGTTTATATACCCTTTAACAGAGCTTAGGTCACAACCCCTCTTCCATCCTGCATATACAAAGCCCCTCTGAACGGGTTTGGCTGGTGTCTCAACTGCAGCTGCAGTCACAGTGGCAGTGTTGGACGGTGCACGGTGACTGCAAAACACAGAATTGTCATCCGGGTGAAAAATCCCATGCACTCGTGTTGTATGACTTGCGAGCACGGCTGCCTTGCGCCATTCTCATTTGTTGGCAAAATTCACTGATGTATTTTTCATGCACTTACATCATGCAAGTTAAAACAAACCCGCATTGGGAAGTTTTTGCAAAGTAATCAACCACGCACACGGCAACTGATTTCACCCGAACTGATGCCAACCCCTAGGGATGCACCTGTGGCAAGCACTTTTACCAAGGATGTGAGCCGACTGCTTTCCCCCGTTCAATCATCTCATCTCATCGTTCAAGATCTCACCTCGCTTCCGTGCTTCTCTTCTTGTTGGCTGCCTGCAGAATGTCCAGGTGATCTTTGAGGAGAACCTGATGCGACTCATAGGCAGTTTGTAATCTGGACAGTATGAGAGAAAACACCAGTGACTTTGATGGCTGCCTCCACTACACCAGACACAGGTGCAATAGTAATATTGGTTAACACTTCATGCCGGGG